AAAGCCTAGTCTGGGACAATACCCCCCAACCTTAGTAAAAAGCCCCCCCCCCCCCCCTCCCCCAATCGCATATCGAGGGAAGGAGTGGACATTTAGATTTTCACCCGTGAAACGCAGTATGTCTCCACAGACAGTGACGGCGCTGACGTCTGTCAGTCAGCCAGCGGGCAAAATGAATGATTCCTGGCCACACCACTGCTCATCTGCCACCAGATAGATGATTTCTCCGCTGCTAAATGTCACATCAATATTCACTGCCAGCTAATTAATCTCAGCTCCCATGGAACTCACTGACATCTCACATCCTGTTGGAATACAGATGGCACTGTAGCAGGATCTCTGCTCTTAAAACACACACTCGTGTTATGCGGTTTGAACTTTGTGCAACCTCATGCATCCTCGCCTTCTTAAATCTTTCTGGGGCATTCGATAAAAAAAAAAAAAAAAAACTAATTAGAAAAGGCAAAGGCAGAACAGTCTGGCATTCATTCAGTTGCAGTCACAGCACAATTTAAGGACAGATGGAAAAGGAAAACACGATTTAGGCCTCTTGTGTTCTGAGCAGCGTGTTGGTGGTAAGTAATAGCCACAGTTTTGATGAAGTGGGTGTAAGATTACTAAAAAGGTCACGCCTCTCGTTATACATCAGTTCCTGAATGATGTATGCTCATGACTGGTCAGGATTAAGCACTGAAACTACAACTGTAGAACACTTGTCTAAGTCTGAGCTGCTATTTTCTATACAGCAGAATCAATTGCACACAACTGAAAGGCATGAGTCACTCTCCACCTGAATAATAGATCTGATAATACTGACTCTTATCATGATGAGCTTGCCTGAAATGTTGTACTGCTAGTGCTGTTAGAAAGGTATACACAGAAAAAAAGAAGTTCAAGATATTCATTAGGTGTTTTGTAGTAAAAGCCTATCCGCGAGCAAAGCTAACCACGCACGGTAAAGCAAGGATTGCAAAAAGGTACGTTGTTAATTAGAAGTAAGAAAAAAACATCCACACAATAGTTGGACCCTAAAGCACAGTAAAATCTGTATTTCCCCTTTTACAAATATGCTCTGTTTTTGTTGCTAAACTTAAATTATACACGAGACAAATATTAATGTCAGATAAAGTTTTCAAATTAGGATTTCAGTTATGGAAAAGAAAAAAGTTTTCCTAACTAGCTGAGCCAAATGTGAAAGTCCCTCCTTTGTGATATCATTAATTAACTGAGAGCAGCCATATTTTGGTTTCGCAAAGCAGACAAAATGAGCCCAAAAAGAGAATTATTTTCCAGTTTTCCTGGGACAGATCACAAACTCTTACTAGGAGCTGTTGCCACCAAGGATGATACATTCAGTTATTAATTTTGACAGGCAAATGTGTTTTTACATATGACCAGGTTGGCTTGGTTAGGTTTCTTCCCGTAAATAAACAAAGTCATCGTTTGCGATCTTTTATATTTCAACTCATACTATCTTTGTCTCAACTCCAATTTTACTTGAGAATCTGAAATGTTTAGGTAAGACAAAAACAGTATTTTCCCAGTCACACTCCACACATTTATTGTTGGTTATTGTGTGTGTTGTGTGGGGGACGGAGAGGAAAGGGGGAGGGCCGTGTGGGTGGGGTAAGGGGTGAGGGTTGAGATATTATACAGCACTGCAGCACAATTGTATGCTTACCTGTCCTACATAGACTAGCAGTCTGGCATTGAGAGGACACTCATCGGGGCTCAACCAGAACTCTGAGTTATCATCAGACGATACGGAGAACTGGAAATCACCTGCAGGGCGAAAGACACGATCAAAGAGGTTCATAGCGGGAAAAGATCTGGATGGCCCTCGATTAGTACATAACAGAATCAGACAAATGCTGCACTTTTAACTCGCTTCAGGTGTAAGAGCACATCAAAAGTAAGGCGCTTCCACTGCCTGTTGCCTTTGACAGAGATGTCACATTCGAATAAAATTCCACATAAAGTTTTTACTGAAGCTGGACTTTCAGGTGCGATATTGAAAGAAAGGACACAGATCTGAAGATTAAAGTTTGCTGCTGCAAACGGCAATCTTTTGCCTAAATCTCCGGGGCGCTCTGGCAGCACCGTTCCTCTATTCTTCCTTTTAGCTCGGGACTAAAACTAAGGCTAAGCGTCACAAGTGCTACGTATAACACCAAAGATATATTTCAAATCCACGTGCAGAGTTTACCAAACCGAGGAGAAAGAATTTCTCCTTGAGGAACTATTGTCAAGTTCAGCCAGTTTATCATGCACAGCTTTACATGAACTTAATGATTCTTTTTCCAAGTTCAACAAAAAATATTTTTGACTCGTCTGCTGTAGTTTCAAATAAACACACAGCTAAACTAGATCAGTATATCTAGATGAACTTCTGTGAACCGTTTTTTATTCACCATCAGTCAAATTAGCTAAAATGACTAACATGTATTAAGATGACAGTATTCAGTTGTGTTGGAGACTTGATTTATTTATTTTTCTATATTTATTATGTGCTTATACAGTATAAAATGAGATCTTTTGTAATGGAAATATCAGTACTGTAGTGTTCTTGCAGAGAAGACATCAATATTTTGTAAACACAAGGTTATTAATTTTTGTGTGTTTAATGTATCATTTAAGCAGCAAGAATTCTCCAAATAGATTTAGATTAAAGTTCACAGCAAATGTTGCCTGTTCAAATCTACTTAGTTTGCACGCGTCTCAGGCAAGACGTAAATGACGAAGGTGAGGGTCCTTTGTTAGAGCTCAAACTTTGCTGCTGAAAACAGCGTGACCTTTACACCATCGGCTCAATAGAGCCATACTACTAGTGAAAGCAGTATGAGAGTCTAAAATGAATGGTAATCTAATTAATAGCTTCAGTTCGGCAATTTGTGTAAGGGCACTTGGACATTTGGGGTTTTCAGTTCCCATAGCAACTGGGTTTCAGGGCAGAACCATGAGGGAACCGCAACGAGATTTAGCAGTGAGATTTCGGCATTGAGCCAAGATGAAAATGTGAATATCCACTACATTAGTGGCTTGGAGGCGTTTGGATTAAGAGGGCTGAGGAAATTGCCTACTCTGATAAAGGACACAAGCTCCAAGGCTCTCAGCCTCATATCAGGGATTGAGAAAGAAAAGAGCTAGTTACCATCTTTGTATGGGTGAAGGAAACCAAATATTCTCAAGCCGTAGTTTTTCCACTTTGGAGCCACGGCCAGCTTCTTTACTGTGGTTCTTGTCTGCAAGAAAAAAGAGACATTTAAAAAAAAACTAATGCAGATATTCAGAACTGTGTACTGAACAATAATCTGAAAGCTTTAACTCTGGTCTTGCTTCTAAGTGTTGCTGTTGTCTTAAGAGAAAATAACATATACAGAATACACACAATGCTTTACTTTGATCTTTTTTTTTTTTTTTTCTTTTTGAGTCTATGGAGATGAGCGCCTGTGTTAGAAGGAAGCCAAAACTAATGATGCAAGAAAGAAAGAACAGACGGGATATAGGACTGTAGGAAAAAACTTTAATGGACACAAGGAAGGAACAGAGGAAGAACACAAAGGAAGGGTGGATAATGGAGATAGGAGAGGAGGGAAGGATAAAATGAAGAAAGGAAAGACAAGCAGAAGGACACAATATTCAGTCAACGGGATCGGAATTAAAAGCCTGGAAAGAAAAGTATTTCTCCATACTCTTATTCAGTATCTAAGAACCAGAAATCCAGTTTAAAAGCAGTAAAAAGCAATGAGGCCCATAAGATATTACTGTTTTTTTTTTTTTTACACCCTTTGAATGCACAGTTGTGGTGTAATATACACCTTCTGCTTTTTCTTCAGAAGGACTGAAGAAGTGTCAGGGTGTCCAGTTCTGACACTGAAGAAGATGACTTTGGTGGTATAAGTCCACAGGAGGAAGATGTGATGAATGACTTTTCCTGGCAAGCTACTATATTCTCTTTTCTTTTTTTTCTTTTCTAAGTAGTCGTGTTACAGGAACCATTGGAAAAAGCATTTATGACACATATTTGTGTTTTCAGTACATATTTCTTTGTAAATAATAAAAAAAAATCTGTATGTGTAAACGGCTCATGATACAATATGGATACCTGTAGCCTATAGACAAGTATGGTCTTTATATGTACACTTTTTCCCTTTTCATTATATTCAGGTGCGCTCAAAAGTTCAGAAATTACGGTACTCAAGTCATCCAATAATAATAATTAAAAAAAATCCCTCTACTTTTCAGAATTTCTAAAATTTATCTTTCAAATAATGCATATGCAAATGAATTCTGAAAACTAAGATTTACATATTAAGAAATCAACCCTGATCAGTTCTAGCGAGTAGGGTACAATAATGCTGTAAACTCCATCCGTCCCTCTTGAGATGGACACGCCCTTTGATTTTACAGGCTCAAATATTAATACTTACATGAGGATAAAGAGGGAAGTGCAGGTTCTTTCTGAGCTGGGCTACAGACGAGCCGCACCAGTCCTCAAACACATGCAGGTTGGCCTGGCCCTTATACTGCAAACACACAAAGAGCAAACAGATTACTACATGCTGCAGCTACAGCATTGCATCATATAAAACAAGAGATTTGCTTTGGTATATCCGCTTTGCGATTGTTGCTTAGGTTGTTGCGTTTTGCCCAGTGTAGCTCAGCACCTTGCAAAATTGTCCAGGACCCTCGAACTAGTTCACATTTTGTTGGCAGACCAGCACCAAGTACTGTAAAATGGTTAAATTAAATTAAGTGCAACAAATAGCCATCAGAATGTACATAATTTGTAAACTGGATTCACTCTTGGAATTCATTGCCAGGATAAACAGCTCATCTGCAAAAGGCCTCAGAGGATTTCAATGTGAACAAAAAGCATCACCATAATCAAAAGACGGAGTATGGCAGAGCTGCAAACCAATAAAGACATCAATGTCTACCTAAACTGACAGGCAAGGAAAGCACTAATCAGCAAAAGAGCCAAGAAGGTTCAAGAAAAACAGGAAGAGCTACAGATCAACAGCTGAGGTGGTCAAATCTTTCAGCTTCTGTAGATAAATACCTGGTAACCTAGACTCAAAATGCAATGTGTGGATGGAAATTAACTGCATTATGTTGATTATGACATCACCACAGTGAAAGATAGTGGCAGCATCATCCTGGGAGGTAATTTTCTTTAGGTGGGATAGGGAAGTTGATCAGAGTTGATAGGAAGAGGGCTAAAGTTAAAGTAGGGCAATCCTTGAAGAAAACCTGGTAGGCACTGAAAGAGACTTGAAAAGGGGCAAAGTTTCCCCTTTCACCAAGACAACAATACTAAAAAACCGAGAGCCAAAACATCGTAGTAACGGTCATAAATCTGTTCATGCAGTAAAGAATCTGTGCCAGCATGTGTTAGCTGTTGTTCAAAGACACTTTCCAATCTGACAGAGCTTGAGAAAGAATGACCAAAAATGAGAAGAAATTGCAAAAAATGATGGTAGTTATATGTGTAAGGCTGAAAGATGTTTACAAAAGACTTGCAGCTGTAACTGCAGTAGAAAGCGGTTCTGCACTGCATTGACTGATTGGAGCCAAGTACTAATGTATGCCACAGTTTTCAGAATTGATTGTAAAAGAAAAAACAAAAAACTGTTAATAATTTTCTGTCAATTTTACGATTATGGGCTATTCTGTGCTGCTCTCTCAAATAAAATATGAGGTAAAACACACTGCGGTTTGTGGCTATGAGAAAAAAAAAAATTAAGATAAGACAATTCAAGGAGTATGAATACTCAAACACTTGAAATTAATATATCTTTGCAGTGTTAAGTTCCAGTGTTAACGCTGCCCTGAATAACAAAAAGGGCCCATAAAGCACAACAGGAGGGAATGTGATCTGAGAGAGTCTGGAGCAGTTTGTCAAAGGTCATCCCCAGCCTGCAGTCTGACATTTGTCTGAATTATGGAGGGAAATCAGAAGACACGGCAAGGACAGATGGTGAAAACAGTCTGCTTTGGGGTACAGTTTCCTCCGGCGCGCACAAACGTCTGGTCATGCTCAAAAACGAAAAGATTTGGAAATAATGTACTTTTTACGCCTTATTACACTTTCGGCAACATGCTTAGTTCAGCCAATGTGCGGCTCTACGTAACACTGTAAGACGTGGCGGATGTGATTTAACAAACTGCATTTTTTTATTTATTTTTTTTTTTTACTTGACAATCAAAACACACGTCTGCACATATGGCATCATGTTAATGTGGGACAACAGACTCAGTGGGCTGCCTCTATAATGCTGCCACAGACATTTAGAACATCACACAGAGCCTGAACAGAAAACTGGCTCTCACTGAAACGACAATAGAGCGGCACAGAGAGGTGCTCCGGCGGATCAAAGCTAAAGCTGGCTTCCCTAGTTTGGCACCATTTCAATTGCTGAAAGTAGTCTTTTTGTTTGTGCCGATGGCTGGAGAGTCAACAAGTGTGAGGCTGTCAAATCAATCAGTCTGGAGAAGGGAAAAGACAACCCAGCACAAAGAAAGAAACATAATAAACATACATACTTCATACATACATACTTCCATGTGCGACATCATAATATGCATGAGGGCACCACATTTATCTGTTCAAACTATTATGGGGCATTACAAACAACATGGAACTGAACAGCCACCTGATTGTTCAGAAAGGATTCTGTGCCCAGAAATAAACATGTCTAGATTGAAATGTATGCCTCAACTGGAAAACAAATGTAAAAAAAAAAAAAAAGTAGCAATGGGTCATAAACCATTTTAACACAATTTATCACTCAAAGAGGAAGAGGCCATTTCTGTAAAAGCAATCCAAAGAAAAACAGTCCTGGGAACTGAAGAACTAAACTTTGACCAATATGTGAATGCATGTATTCTGATTTCTGAAATCTTCCCGAGTTAAAACATTAGTATTGTTGTTTCTAAATGCATATAAACTTATTTTCTTTGCATTATTTGAGGTCTGAAAGCGCTGTATCTTTTTTTTTTTTTTTTACCATTTCTCATTTCTGCAAATAAATACAAATTTTTTGTCTGGAATTCATAGAATAAAAGAACAATGTTCATTTTACTAAAACATGAACCTACAAAAAAGTAAAATCAGAGAACTGATCATTTTGCAGCAGTCTATTAATTTTTTTTCCAGAGCTATATATATATATATATATATATATATATATATATATATATATATATATCTGTGTATGTGCGAAGATTTGGCTTGCAATCCTTATGTAAGCATGGCTTATGTAAATGTTTTAATAGACCTCCTGTGGGTTTTAAAATCAAACCTTCTTATGTCCTGGCCCCTTCTTGCTGCTCCTGTTGCCAAACAGTAATAGACGAGGAGCTTGAAAGTCTCCAAGATTCATTTAAACATACATCAGTGTAGTCCTGGAGCTACTGGCTGTAAATTGAGCTTCCTGCTGGGGGGCACTTGTGTATAATGGACTCATTTTTACAGGAACAGCAGAGTAAGAGTGATGTCTCTGTTTGTGAACTATATCAGTGAGAGTTATACTGAAATATTTTTTCCCTCAACCACTGTGATAGCAACTTAACCATCTTCCTTGACTGTTTAATTGTCCTTGCTTTGCCCCAAGAATAATATTTGATTTTTTTTCTCTCATTATTGTTTTCTCTCTCTCTGAAGGTCTTTAGTCTCAGTAGCCCCAGTATTGTATTGTACCGTCTCATACTTTTTCTGTTTTAATCTCTCTATCCGTAAGCTGCCAAATGCTGTCAGTTTCTTCTATCTTCAGTTTTCCTTTGCTCAGCTGTCAGTATACCACATCTGCTTTTATAAAGTTATTCTCCCAATTCCTTTTATGGGACATAAGAATATTCTTGCAACAAATAGTAAGTCTGCATTTGACTGAATTTTTTTGAGTAGCTTTCTAGATTGTGTCTGAGTTAAGACATGTATTAAGAAATTGAATGGTGGTCCCAATAGGTAGATTTTTACATGATCGGTTAGCAACACAGCCATCTTTACTCTGATCGTAAAACTACCAGAAACTCTGCTGCCGACACTGTGATCTGTGGATATCATCACCAAGAGAAGAAGAGCCAAAAGCGGAATTGTAGTCTGAGAAAGACTGGAGATGTAAGGAGCTATAAAAAAGACAGATGTATTTTCTGCAAAATGTCCAGATTCATTCACGCTCCTGTCAGGCTGTGCGGGAGTAAGAGAGAGGGAGACTTTCACCAGACCACTAAAACGACAAACAACAAGGTTGCTCTGGTTTATTCTCCTGAGCTTTCAGCTTGTCTGTGGAAAATTACGAATTTGAAAATGTGGGTGAAGTGTTAGGGCACCAATCTATATGGAAGACACAAAGTAGATTTTAAAATCTGCATCCAAAGTTTAGCCCTCCGATATTTCTGCTGTTTCCTTTTGGAAATGCAGTAACTAAAAGTAGGAGACAAAAGAAACCCCAGGGTTTTTGAGAAAAAAAAAAAAAGAAAAAAAAAAAGAAAACCTGCCTCACAAACTGCTTGTGTCTATGATCTTCCTTCTCACTTCCAAATTTGTGTGAGCTCATCTCAGCACATCGTCTCCACAGCTCTCTAGTATCCGCTCGCTCTCTCCATCTGGTCTCACCGTTAACCAGCACGCAAACAGAACATTTATTTTTCTTATTTTCTCCTTCTCTTTCCTCCAGGAGTCTGTCTCTCTTTCTCAAAATCTGGCACAGACTGCTGCACTCCTGCTGGTTCTGAGGTACAGACAAATGGCGGCACGGTGCATCCACAGATGAGCCATCACACCAGCTGACACCGTTAGTCCCAGTAGGAAAGGAAACATAAAAGATGACATTCCAGGCAATAGCTACAAGGGTATGATAGATCTTTAGCTGTTTTAAGAAAGAAAAATTGGACAGCTGACTCAAAATGTTTACAATTTAGCAAACTTTTCATTATTAAAAATGAAGAAAGTCTCACTTCTAAAATGAAGGAACGTGCAAAATCTTAAAAGGACAACATACTTCACCAAAAATGTCATGTAATCTTGTAAATGAGGTTAGATCAATATTTTCTCCTGGCTTTCACAATGTTCTTTTAAGGTTTTGGTTGAATTTTCACTTATTTGCAGTTCACCAATTGACCAATTTTTGTTCACTTATTGATTTTATGTCGAGTTGATTGAAACCAAGCAAATTAAAGAAGCAAATGTCAACCAGACTAAGCCACGCGATGGTGCAGGTGCTGTCCTGAGTCCATCAGCTTGTCTGCCTTCTACCTCTTTGCACATTTGCTGTCATGGTAGCGAGGGCTGGATCACACCGAGAATGAGCAGGAAAGCACCCAAAATCCAAGGGAAAAAAAAATCAAGACTGTACCCTACCAAAATGTTTTAACAGAGCGAGGCTTCTTTGGAAAAAAAGAAAAAAAAACAAATATTTAGACTTGGTTAAAATGTTTGCACCAAACTGTGCATTTGAATAGAGAGCATTCATACTCGGTAAGAAAATAAAATGAAAAGTTCACACACAAGAGGAAAAAATGTTTTTAACAGGTTTAAAGAGTTTTCTGGAATAAAGTAGACTGACTATTCACAGTCTTACAGGAACAGGAAAACATATTCCACCGTTATCAACCAGCGCGACAAAGATTTATATAATCTACAATTTGTCTCGTTTCTGTAGTGCCAAGGATGTAGCATAAAGGAGGTGAGGATGGTTGCACTAGATTCCTCTCACTGGGAAATACGAGACACATTCTTGTGTTTTCTGGAGAAGGAAAAGGGGAATGAATCATTACATTTCGTGGACGTGTAGTCTTTTGGTTGGACAGGCAGAACAGTGAAGATATAAAAATATCAGACCTCCTCACACCTCGCATTAAGTTAGCATGAGAAGGGAATCGGAGACAAAAACATCAGATTCCACCTCCAGTCTTGTCACAGGTTGTATGATTGAGGAGACAACAGTGACTGTTGCTTCCATATGAGTCATGTGTCTGCGTTGAGGTTCAAACTCCTCCTCACTTCCCTCCTAACAGGAAAAAAAAAACAAAAACTGGTTGTTCAAATCATCACCAGGAAAAATGATTACATAAAGTTGCATCCTTTAGGTCTCACGGGACAGAAATGTTAGCCCTGGTATGTCTGTCAACGTATTTATTGATCTCTCCTTGTGTTCCCTTTGGTTTTATTCAATATGTACTTCACACTTGCATTACTCTTATAATGAAATCTATGTTTTCCTTTTAGCATCATCACTTTTTCTCTGCTTCTTGCTAAATGAATTGGTTGAATTTGGCAAACCCCTGTATGGAATGACAGAAAAACCACCGTTTCACCTTTGTCTGCGTCTACCGTTTGCCCGTTTAAAAAGCCAGTCAGCAGCTTCCACTCTAGTCTTCATCTCATCTCAGTGCTCATGATATGTTGGTGTCCTTGATCGACGACACGAAGCAGAGTATCAGCGCTAATCCTCTGTCCCCTCTGAGTGAGTCCACTGGTTGGTTCATTAGAATGATGACATTCTAATGAAGTCATCAAAGAAAGAAAAGACAAAATTTCATTCTGACTTCAAGTAAGCTAGAAATAAATAGCATTTTGACTTTTATTTTCCTTTTGCAATGACAGAGTTTCACTGAGAATGTCGGATGTCAATGCAGCCTCTCCTAGGCGTTGACAGCTGGCATGCAGCTCCGTTTTACTGCAGCCAGGCTGAGTGTTTGTCTTTGACAGTGCCAGCTTAGTGATCCATCAGCCCTCCTCCATCCCAACTGTGGACCAAAACATGTGGATTACTGGTAAGCAGGACAGATAGGTCGTTAAGGCAGACAAAGTACCAAAGTGGGGTTTTTTTTCCCTCCAACTTGGCCTTGGTTTAACATTGTATCAGAGTGAACTAGAAGAAAGTTTGGACTTTGCTAGAAGTTCTGTGGTTAGTTTAGATGGAACAAAGGAAAACGACACTCTGCTATCTTCTTTTCAATAGACCCTATGGTCTAAATATGCATGGTCTAAATATGGTCTCAATAACCATCATTAACAAATGTCATTGTTTTCTCGTGTTATTCTTAACCAACCCATCTGTTTCCACAATATGCAACAGTAAAAATAATTTTATTCCAGAAAGCAGCTCTAGTTGGGAGTTGGTACTTTTCAATCGAGCCAAAACAATTGGGGTGAAGCTTTGAAGAAGAAAAAGTGATAAACACTTCTGACTGGAGAACATTTCTCAAGATTATTTTTTTTTCTTACCCATCTTAATTTATCTCTGCTGCATTTAATATTTTGTGTTCCTGTTAAATATGTGGAAAAATTTTAATTCATAGATTTTTGCCCTTAGCTACTTGTAAAGGCAGAGAAAGAACATTTGTCAAAGAAATGAGGCGCTCGGTGCAACCTAGCTGATTAAACATTTGTTAATTTTACACATTTTCTTTGAATTTGGAAACATTTTGAATCAGTTTCAGAATGCAGACGTGAGAAATGTTAAAAGTTATTCTTTGCGGCTGCAGAACACTGGCATGCCAATGAGTGTTTGCTCCTTTGCCACAACAGGAGAGATGTGAATTCTACAACTAGTATAAAAAATATTGGAAATATAAATTCTAGAAGAAAGGTAATTATGGTAATGGTTTTGATGCTGTAAGGGCAGTTTATTAAAATAAATTATTACCAGAATACATCTTGATTCATTTTGTATTTGTTTGATTTATTTTGCCTCTCTTGAGGCAAATTCCCCCTACCCAACTGAAGCTACAGGACCCACTTTTAAATGTGATTTTTTTGTAAATATTACACGTCCTGGCAATGTACAGTTGAATAGTAACAGATCAATAGATGAGAAGTAACCTGGAGTTGTTAAATCAGATGCCACATTTATGCTGGCAGGAGGAATAGAAGGGGTAAACATGTCTTAGTCCGCAGTCCAAAGCTAAATAAACATCACAGATTGAATGGCAGCAACGACTGCACCCTGATACAAGTTCATCCTTGTGACTGTGTTAACACACAATACTGCAAACCTGAAAATAATTAAACTTTTAACTTTCACAAAGGTTATGCAGCCAAGTAAAAAAAAAAAAAAAAAGCCTAAAGAACTGATAATGAAGATTTCTTTTAAAGCTTAATAGAAAGTGTGGCTCATTGCATTTAAAGTTCATAGACCTTAGAGGTGCTTTACCTTTGCACAGCATGTGTAATTGTTCATTTGAGTTCCTGATACATACAACTATATACTAGCAATTATACAATTTTTTCCATGACTGTAGACTTGGAACTATACAGAACACTGCACTGCTGCTGACTCCAACAAAGAAAGCTGCCCTGCATTATATAAAATGTGATAGTTTATATGCTGCAGCATTTATTTCCCTTAGAAGACTGCTTTGCTTTTACAATGCACATGATAAATAAGACAATAGTGTTGGTCAGCGAAAGCATATGCAACTCTTTGTCTACAAGCATCTCCTGAGGTTAAAGCAAACTAAATGGGAGAACAAAGAAGGAGAAGGGAAATGAGAGAGGCAAGCTGTGATTCAGCCTTAAAATCGAGTTTAATTTGCTCTGTTTTTATACTCGATATGCTCGACGCTTAGAGAGATGTTTGACTTTCATCCCACTCTGGATGTTGTATTTCAAAGTGAATTCTCTTTTTGCATGTAGGATGGAAGTAAAGACAGGAAATAAAACAATGTGCAGCAATCTAGAAGCAATAGGAACGAGGCTTTTGAATGTACTTCAGTGATGTGAAGCAGAACAGTAATTTTGTGTCCGGCGTGTTGCATGAAATGTAAACGGCATAATGGTTAATCTCAGAAAACAGTCAGAAGTTCATCTGAGAAAATGGGTTAGTGTTAAGTTATTGAGTTCATGCTGTGTGTGCCTATCTTTGTAATACAAGTTTCATAAAGTAAAAAAAAAAAAAGTGGCTGTGGGTGGGGTTCAGAAAAAATTACAATGTCTTAAAAGATAATACTGCACTGAGAAGAGAACAGGTAACAAAAAATCATTTGTTAAGCATTATTATATGAAGTGTGACTTCTGCTTTCCCTGAACCACACACAGACGTGTTTTGCGCAGATTGTTGAGCTTCGCATAAGGTACAAAGAGCTTCATGAATCAGATTTTACAGATCTGGTTTTGAGACGCACAGAGTACGTGCCTCACGCCTTTAATTAACCTTGGCTGAGCATGTGACAAATCAAGATCTGGTTTTCTTCTTACTAATCTGCTGCTTAATTGGCCTGTCTCCTGTTCCCTTTGTTGCAGCAGGTGTGCAGACTACATTAGCAAGTGAGCTGAAACAAAATATATGCACCAATCACATCAGACTTGAAATGAAGTTATTGCTTTTAAAAATAGCCTGTCTAAGGTTTAGATTAAATATTATCATGATCGTGCAATCATTTATCAATTAAAACAGAACAAATATATCTTCAATTTAGATTGCGGTCTCTACTCGTACATCGACTGATTCATAAGCAGAAAAAAAAAAAAAAACCTGCAAAATTATTGTTGCGATGCTAATGTGAAACAATACCAGAACTTGCCTGATGATTATTAATCATTGAGAAAAGATTGCCGTCCTTGTGTTTGTAGTTATAAATGGCTTATTATCTATGAGACTGATGTATTATGAGGTGTTGCTTAAAAAATTGCTTTCACTCTGTGAACTTTCCCACATTTAGTAAAGATACATTTTAGTATCCCCCGTACTACATTAGATCAATGTATAACACTTTATTTGATGCAGTGTGCATAAGACTGACATGACACTGACATAAAAATGACTTGGCACGTTTGTCATGAAGATGAAAGAGTCTTCATGAAGGTTTACGACTGTTGTCGTGAAGTGTCATTCGGTAAATAATGACACTTTTAGTGCAAAGTTGAGAATTTTAATAAACTTTTATTGCAAGCTTTAACGCAACTTTGTATTAAAAGTAATATTAATTTCATTTTAACGATATTACAAAATATACCAAAAGCAAAATAAGAAGAAAAGTCTGGTGTTACCTCTGGTTTCCATAGTAACTTCTTTTGCTTCTGACTGAGAAACTTTCGGATGTGGGTTTGATCTCTGCTGTCAGCCCCTCCAATGATTGGCTCGTCGTCCTTTACGGAAACAAGGAGAGAAACAACAACACATTATACTTTGTGTTAAAACATTATGCAAAGACTAAGTACAAACTGAATCATTCTGAGCGGTCTAAACTCAGGGCAGTCCAAGTCCATGCCTGCTTGCATGAATCACACAGATTCACGCAAGCAGGCATGGATCTGTCCGACCGCCGCTACGACCTCAACATACGCTACGTAACTCATACATGAAAGATAATAACATCATTAAGTAAAAAGCCAGAATCAATTCAAGCAACGTAAAGTGGTGATGATGGAAGCGTGTGAACACACACACACGCTCATATATAGACAGACAAGCAGCAAAAAAGCAAGCCAAAAAAAAAAAACAACAACAAAAAAACCCATGGGATTATAGCCCCAGAAGGCAACTATTAACACCCTGCAGTTTTTCTTTTTCATCATTTACACATAATCCGGCACTTGATTTGCCAAAGCTCTAATGTCCAACATTCTTCACCCATCCAGCCAAGAACCCGCTCTCCAAGAAGCCTGCGCTCTCCCCCTGATCCGGGATTTGGTCCGACTTTCCAGCCAGAGAGCTGCCGGGCTCCCTTCTCTGTGGTCTGCGAAGCAGCATGTCCATGTTAATGCCGGGATGATGCGACAGGCGGGTTGAAGTGTGGAGGAGGGCAAGTTCTTAGGCAGCTGCAGGAAGATAAAAGGCTGCCTGGCTCGCAGAGGAAGGAACAAAGTCACAGAGCTGTTAAGTGAGTGGCAGAGCATCCTCCATTTAGCAGAGACGTCAACAGAAGCAAGCAAACACCTCCACCGAGACCAGCAACTGAGCTTTTTAGCACCCCTGAAAAAAGAGCGGCTTTTGTACAGAAGGTGCCAGTGTTTGCAATAAATTCAGGAGAGGAAAAGGAAATTTTGACAGAGAGGAAGCAAAGGAGCTGTCGGATTCCGAGCCTTTGATTACTTTTTTTTTTTTTTTTTTTCTTCCAAGGGAGAAACATGAAGGAGGCCAACGGAGGTAATGATGAAAAAATGTGACAAGAGGCTCCCTTCCTGTCTGCCACCAGAGGAGCGCAAAGCGCCTGATGTTTGTGAGCACCAAAAGGCACACAAACACACACACATCCACTCGATAAAGGCTAAAACTTTATATTGCATCAGTGGGTGTTTCGTATGACATCAAGAGAGGCAAAGAATAAAGACGGAAGAAAACAGGACTTAGTGGTCAGTAAAAAAAAAAAAAAAAAAAAAAAAAAAAAAAAAAAAAAAAAAAAAAAAAAAAAAACAAGGGGTTTAAAAAGGGGGAACCGCCCCTTCAATCCCCGCAAA